TGAAACAATGTTCCCATCAGCCACAGGACTAGGAATATAAACAACCAATAGTGTACAGTGTATTAAATATAGTGTCAGTCCAACCATATGATTCATGCTAGTAATCCCAGCAACCAGGCAGGAGATTGGGAAGCAAAAAGTCAGAGACCTTCACTACTTCAATATTAAATGTATTCTAAATTAGAAAATGGAAATGCTTATATAAAGCTTTTTTCTTCAAACTAATGATGCTACCCAGTTTCAAACTGAGCTATTTATAATAGTCAAAAATCAGACACAGGCCTAGTGCCAGTGGCTCACTCCTGTAAACCTAGTTACTCAGGAGGCTGAGATCTGAGGATCGTGGTTCAAAGCCAGACCAGGCAGGAAAGTCCTTGAGACTCTTTATCTCCAATTAACCACCAGAAAGGCAGAAGTGGCACTGTGGCTCACATGGTAGTGTTCACCTTGAGCTGAAGAGCTCAGAGACAGGGCCCAGGCCCAAAGTTCAAGATCCACACAACAACAACAAAAAAAATCAGACTCAGGCTGGGAAGACAGCTCAGTGGTAGAGTGCTCTCCTAGCATGCATGAAACCCTGGGTTCAATTCCTCAGTATCACATACACAGAAAACGCTGGAAGTGGCGCTGTGGCTCAAGTGGTAGAGTGCTGGCCTTGAACAAAAGAAGCTCAGGGGGGCTGGGAAGGTAGCTCAGCGGTAGAGTGCATGCCTTGCAAGCATGAGGCCCTGGGTTGGATTCCTCAGCACCACATAAACAGAAAAAGCCAGAAGTGGCGCTGTGGCTCCAGTGGTAGAGCGCTCGCCTTGAGCTGAAGAGCTGAGGGACAGCGTCCAGGCCCAGTGTTCAGGCCCCATGACTGGCAAAAAAAAAAAGAACACAAAAAAAAAAAAGCCAGAAGTGGCGCTGTGGCTCCAGTGGTAGAGCACTAGCCTTGAGCTGAAGAGCTGAGGGACAGCGTCCAGGCCCAGTGTTCAGGCCCCATGACCGGCAAAAAAAAAAAAAAGAGAAGCTCAGGGATTCCGCCTGAGTTCAAGCCTCAGGACTGGCAAAAAAAAAAAAAAAATCCCAGGTGACAGTGCTAGGAGGGGGGACCTAGCAGGAGGTCCTCGGGTAGACAAGGCAGACCCTCAGTGAGTGCTCCCATGATTAGTGAAACCTAAATCCACCCTGGGGTTGCATCAATTTGTTTCCTGGTATTGACAATGTTCTACAATTACACAAGAAGTTTACATTTGGCAGTTAGGATAAAAGGCACACTATCTCACTATTCAGTTTTCCTTCCGAAATTACAAATTATTTCAAAACAGTTAAAAACAACACAATGATCACAAAACTTTCTTCAAGCCATGGGGCTTTAATGCAGCCTTGGCGCCATCCCTCAGCACTAGCTCAAGGCAGCACTCTACCACATGATCCACAGCGCCACTTCTGGTTTTCTGGTGGTTAATTGGAGATAAGGATCTCAGACTTTCCTGCCCAGGCTGGCTTTGAACTTGGATACTCACATCTCAGCCCTCTGAATGACTACACAAGCCACCAGTGCCCAGTGCAAAATTTCTTATCTCAAAAATCAGTTTTCCCAGGGACAACTAGAAAAAATACATAAAGAGATGAGTTATCAGGTAAGAAGAAATTACTGTTTAGGTTTGGTAATAGTAGTATGCCCGTGCAAAAAAAGAATGCTCTTATCCTTAGAATCTCTGTCCTTAAAATTTTAAAGGTAAAGTGTCATACTTGGACTCATTTTGAAGATTATACATAATACACATAAATGTGCACACATAAATACACATACACATAAATACACATGCAAATTTTAAAACATATACACCCATGTATGTGGCATATACTCATAAAAATACATATAATACATATACAGAATATACACATATAAACCCCACAAATATTTGCTATACAAAAAGATGTATATATGCACACCATCAGGCACACATATAGTATCGACACATGTAACTATTATATATGTGTAAGTTGGTAAATTCACTGTTCTCTCTTCAACTTTTCTATCATACTTCAGGAAACAGTAGAGGGCTGGGAATGTGACTTAGTCATAGAGTGCTTGCCTAGCATGCATGAAGCCCTGGGTTCAATTCCTTAGTACCACATAAACAGAAAAAGCCGGAAAGTGGTGCTGTGGCTCAAGTGGTAGAGCACTAACCTTGAACACAGAGAGGCTCAGGGACAAAGCCTAGGCCCTGAGTTTACACCCTAGAACAGGACAGGATAGGACAGGACAGGAAAGGAAAGGATAGGAAAGGAAAGAAAGGAAGGAAGGAAAGAGAGAGAGAGAGAGAGAGAGAGAGAGAGAGAAGGAAAGAAAGAAAGAAAGAAAGAAAGAAAGAAAGAAAGAAAGAAAGAAAGAAAGAAAGAAAGAAAGAAAGAAAGGGAAAATGTAATGCCTCTAGTTAGCACTCGTTAACAACTTTGTGACAATAATAAAAGCTTCCTCAAAAGATTTAAATATTTTAAGGTGAGAAAATATGGTGATAGCTGAAAAGTATAAGGAATTACTACCTGATAACTTGTGAACTTCTCCACAGGAAGCTTTTTTATTTATTTATTTTTTTTGGAGGGGAGGTAAATTTTTTTTTCTTTTGGAGCCCATCCTGGGATTTGGAACTCAAGGTCTCACACTCTCACTTGGCTTAAAATTTTTACTGAGGGCTGGTGTTCTACCCATTGAGTCACACCTCTGCTTTCAAAGTAAAGAGTACTGCAGGACTAGGGATGTCTGCCAATAAGATCTGGGATTAGGCCAGGACAGTGGCTCACCCAGTAACCTAGCTACTCAAAACTGGATAAGATCAGAGAATCAAGGTCAAAGCCAAGATCACTTCCAATTAACCAGCAAAAAAGCCAGATTGGAAGTGTGGCTCAAATGGTAGCCATAGGCAAGGAAGCCAAGAACACTGTGACTGAAAAAAATAAAACAAAACTGGTGTGAGGATACAGCAGAGCCCTTCATATCACTCAGGTTTCTGGCCAATTCTGGAATTTCTGGTCCTCCAGCCACTTCTAGTATACTGGGCTTGATCCAAGTTCAATGCTATTTAAACTCTTTACACAATGAGCTCGGAATGCTTCCGAATTGCTTCAAGTCTATAAAAATAGGGCAAACAAAACTGTATTTTAGGCTCAACAGGGGAGCTTACTATTTCAATAGCACTTCAAATTCATTAAAATACTCTCCCTGGCTAACAGGACACCCCTGAATTCAAACCCCAGTACTGCCATTAAAAACTAAAAACAGTCCAGGCACCGATGGCTCACACCTGTCATCCCAGCTACTCAGGAGGCTGAGATCTGAGGATCGCAGTTCAAAGCCAGCCCAGGCAGGAAAGTCCGAGACACTTATCTCCAATGAACCACCAGAAAACCAGATGTGGCGCTTGCCTAGAAAGAGTCTCTGGGTTCAATTCCTCAGCACTACATAAGCAGAAAAAGCCCGAAGTGGTACTATGCCTCAAGTGGTAGAGCACTCGTTTGGGCTGAAGACCTGAGGGACAGCGCCCAGGCCCAGAGTTCAAGACCCAAGACCAACAAAAGAAAAGGTAAAAAAAAGAAATATACAAAAACAAACAAACCACCCAACCTGAGCACCTGAGGGAGGACTGCACCAGGGCGAGGTCACGCCTGCGCAGGCTCCGCACCACGAGTGGCATCGCACAGATCCCAGCACAGAACGAGGCGGCAGGCTGCACAGTCCAGACACACACACGCACACGCACACACTCGACGAGCTTCCTGCCACCCGAGGCCGCGCGGGTCACGACGCAGCTCGGCCGCAGCCGGGCAGCCCGAAGAGCATTTCCTGAGTCACGACTCTGCCTCTGCCATCAACGTCTCCGGAAGGTTCGGCTCCCAGCCGTCAAAATCTGCTTAACTTCCTTCGCTGGGCCTGTCGCCGCCAGGAACCCGCGCCTGACCCTCGCCAAAGAGCTCGGACCGAGCCCTGGGGTAGCAGAGAGCAGGACGTGGCGCCTTCGCTGCCATCTCCGGGCCACGGCGCGGCGTCGGGCTGCCCGGGACGCGGGCGGGCTGCCGCTCAGTGCAGAGTGGAGGCAGCTCCGGGAGGCCCAGCGGCTCCTGGCTCCCGGGCAAGGACCCCGGGCAAGGAAGCGGCGGAGCGGCCCACCCCGGGGAGACCCAAGGGCCTCCCAGAGGCGGAGGCACGGTATGCGATGATTTAAGGACATTGAAGACTGGGGAGAAGGAGCCGCACTTCACACGGCCGCGGGCATCAAGCCCCGGAGCCTCAGTCCCGGGGTCGAGGCCCTCGCGGCCGTTGCCGAGGGCAACGTGCGCACGACGCAAACACGAGCAGCGGTGGGGGTGCACGCCCGGCGGGAGGGGGGAAGCCTGGGGGTTAGGGGGGGGGAACCTGGGGGAAGGGAAGGCGGGAGGAGGCCTGGGGGAAAGGGGAGGAAACCGGGAGAGGGGGAGGCGGGGGAGGGGAGGCCTCGAGGGGGTGAGGCGGGGGCAGCCTGAGGGGGAGAGTCCGGGGGGCGGGGTGAGGTAGGGGGCCTTCACAGGGGAAGCAGGGGCAGGAGGCGCGCACAGGGCACGCACACGCGCGTGCATGCACGCACAGGCGCGCGGACGCTATGAACAGGTGCTCAGCTCAAACCCCCTAAGACCAGAGACGGCGCGGGAAGGCGGGGCTCGGGAGGAGGCCGTGGATCCCCGGGGAGTCCACCCCAAGGCACCCGGAGAGGGGTGTCCCCGCGGACAGGGAGGGGGGACTGAGGAAGGAACCCCGGCGGAAGACCGCGCCCGCCTCCGCCCAACGCGGGCCCGGACCCTCGCCGGCCATGCCCAAAAAAGGCAGCGCGGCGCCCGGGAGGGTGGGCACGGCCCGGGCTCGGCCGCTCTGAACCGCAGGACGCCCCCGGTCCCTCGCGTAGGGCTCTGCTCCGCGTCTTTGGAATTAGGAAAACCGAGCACCGAGAGGCCCGGGAGCCGCAAAAACGCGGACTTACCTCCAGCACCGCAACGCACACTTCGGCGAGTTGTCAAGTCTGCGCATGCGCCTGCCAGGCTCCCGGATGAGGCTCCCGAAAATGCAGAACGTCGCAAGCAGAGCGCGGGGGCGGGGCCAGCTGAGGAGAACGTGGGGCGACGCCAGCTGAGCAGGGGGCGGGGCTAGCTGAGCAGCGGGCGGTGTAGGGACAGCTAGGAAGAGCGTGGGGCAGTCCAGGCAGGGGGAGGGGACGAGGCCGGCTGGGCAGGGGGCGGGCATGCTGGGCAAGGTGCGGGGCCCACTGGCCCAGTCGCGCCGCGAGCTTAGGCTGTGCGCACCGGCTCCGATGGTCCGAGCGCTCCCAACCAGATAAAGGGTTGGGGAGCAGGAAAACCAGTGGGTCCGCGGAGAGGCGGAGCAGCGGTCGGCGCCCCGGGGCCGGGGAAGGCGCCTACTAGAGGCCCGACCAAGCCCTCTCCTCCACACTGAGGCAGGGGGTCGCAGGGAGGGGTCCGCCTCCCGTCTGGCCAGGCCCGCGTGAGGCCCCAAGCGGCCCGGGGGACCCAACGCACTCTGGAGGGCCAGCTGCCCGCAGCCCAGCCCCTCTCCCAGCGAGTACGCAGCAGCACCAGGCCATTTACTGAGCCCTGGTGCCGTCCTCCCGGGGCGTTCTCGTCCCTGTCCCCAGGCCGCTCCAACATCGCCAAACTCCTCTGTGAGGATGGCTGTGGTTCCCGGTCTCTCTGCTGCCTATCTAGGTTCTCTCCCGTAGCCAGGTTCATCGCGCTCCCGAGCTGTAAGATATGCTGGCCTAGGCAGACATCACAGGTACAGGTATTTTTCATTTATTTGCGTTTCTCATTTAGAGTTGCAGTCCACAAAAACTGATTTTTTTGTCTATTGCAGGGAATAGAAAATTGGAAGCCACAGGTCAGCTGTGTAGTCCACGTCTGTTGGTGTACAGTTCAAGTGAAGAACATTTTCAGTGTACAGTTCAAGAGTGAAGAACATTTTAGTGTATGGTTCAAGAGTGAAGAACATTGGGGGGTGGGGGTCATGGGACTTGAACTCTGGGCCTGGGCACTGTCCTTCAGCTCAAGGCTGGTGCTCTACCACTTGAGCCACAGCGCCACTTCCGGTTTCCTGGTGGTTACTTGGAGGGTTGGTTTTATTTTGGGGGGGGGTTAACAGTATTTTTTTTTGTCTTTTCTTTTTTGGTACTGGGGATCGAACCTAGGACGTTGCACTTGCTAGGCAAGCGCTTTGCCACTGAGCTACATCCCAGCCCTTGGTGGTTACTTGGAGATTGGAGTCTCACGGACTTTCCTGCCCAGGCTGGCTTTGAACTGCGATCCTCAGATCTCAGCCTCCTGAGTAGCTAGGATGACAGGTCTGAGCCACCAGCGCCTGGCAGGATATTTTTATGTGGTTCCATAATTGAAAAAACTATTTTACAACATATTAAAATTATATGAAATTCAAATTTAACAGTCTGTAAGTAAAAATTAGACACTCATTTGCATACAAATTGTCTAGCAGCTTTCACATTATAACCATTATGTTGCTGTGTGGATGTGGCAGAGATCAGGCAGAACAAGTTGTTTACAATTCAGCAAAGAAGATAAGCAAGTACTAAGTACCATGTATTACACCAAATGGTAGTCAATGCCCTGGAGAAAAAAGCAAGACAGAGGATGTGTTGGGCAGGTGTGGTTTCAACTTCAAATATGAGTTAGGGAAAGGCTCACTGAGAAAACTGTGTGTGAGCACCAGTGGATGAGATGGGAGGATGTGAGCCCACAGGTCTTGGGAGAAGATCTCCAGAGGCAAGGACTGGAGAGACCAGGAAGTGACAACCTGCCTGCCCAGTCAGGAATAGCAGGAGGCCACCTGACTGGAAAAGAAACTGAAAGGAAAATGAGATGAATCCTGATAGGTCATGGGGAGGCATTAATTAAAACATTACTGCTGTGTCAAAAAAAACTATGAAGGAGCCGGGCGCTGGTGGCTCACGCCTGTAATCCTAGCTACTCAGGAGGCTGAGATCTGAGGATCGCGGTTCAAAGCCAGCCCGGGCAGGAGAGACCGTGAGACTCCTATCTCCAATAAACCACCAGAAAACCGGAAGTGGCGCTGTAGCTCAAGTGGTAGAGCACTCGCCTTGAGCTGAAGAGCTGAGGGACAGCGCCCAGGCCCAGAGTTCAAGTCCCACGACCGACCAAAAAAAAAAAAACTATGAAGGGCTGGGAAGGTGGCTCAGCGGTAGAGTGCTTGCCTTGTATGCATGAGGCCCTGGGTTCAATTCCTCAGCACCACATAAGCAAAAAAAAAAAAAGCTGGAAGTGGCGCTGTGGCTCAAGTGGTAGAGTGCTCACCTTAAGCTGAATAGCTGAGGGACAGCCCCCAGGCCTAGATTTCAGGCCCCACGACCAGCAAAACAAAACAAAAAAAACTACGAAGACAAGTGCAGTAACCTGTATGATTACATAGCTGGTTGTCCTTAAGGGCACATTACCTACTGTATCCCTGCCTCCAGTGACTTCGTGCTTGGCCATCCCCTTGCTTTTGCAATGAAAGGTGAGAGGAGGTCTGGTGTCCTACTTCTGAGCTTTTGTATCCTTGCATCCTCTTGGCCTTTTTCTCAATTAAAAAGCCTTCCCACCCCACTGTTTAGGCTCTGGAGTGAAGGCAACAAGCAAAAGATAAGCTGCTAGGCTGTATCACACAAGCAAATAATGCAGGAAGCCACTGAGTTTTACTCTCATTTGTTATTGCAGTATAACTTAATTAGCTTCATCTAATACAACAAATCATTAAAACTACTGTGCTTTTAGAGGTTAAAATTTTACAACCTCCATCACCTATCAGAACTAAAATTAAAAACAAGTTTGAGCCAGGCACTGGTGTCTCATGCTTGTAATTCCTAACTACTCAGGAGGCTGAGATCTGAGGATCACGGTTCAAAGCCAGCCCAGGCAGGAAAGTCCGTGAGACTCTTATCTCCAATTAACCACCAGAAAACCAGAAGTGGAACTGTGGCTCAGTGATAGAGTGCTAGCCTTGAGCTGAAGAGCTGAGGGACAGCACCCAGGCCCAAAGTTCAAGCCCTACAACCCACACACAAAAAAAAAGAAAAAACAGCCAGGTGCTGGTGGCTCACGCCTGTAATCCTAGCTACTCAGGAGGCTGAGATCTGAGGATCTCGGTTCAAAGCCAGCCCGGGCAGGAGAGACCGTGAGACTCCTATCTCCAATAAACCACCAGAAAACTGGAAGTGGCGCTGTAGCTCAAGTGGTAGCGCCCAGACCCAGAGTTCAAGTCCCACGACTGACAAAAAAAAAAAAAAAACAGGGGCTGGGAAAGTAGCTCAGCGGTAGAGTGCGTGCCTTGCAAGCATGAGGCCCTGGGTTCGATTCCTTAGCACCACATAAACAGAAAAAGCCGGAAGTGGCACTGTGGCTCCAGTGGTAGAGCGCTAGCATTGAGCTTGAAGAGCTGAGGGACAGTGCCCAGGCCCAGAGTTCAGGCCCCATGACCGGCAAAAAACAAAAAACAGAAAAAACAAACCAAAACAACAACAAAAACCAGTTTGATAAATGAAGTACTGGTTAAAAGGTAGAGCAACAGGAACTTTCATTCACTGCTGATAGAAAAGCAAAGGAATTATGGGTGCTTTGGAAAGCTTTGCAATTTCTTACAGAATTATTGTCCCATACAGGTCTGTGCTCCAGACTGACCATATGGCCCAGAAATCACTTTTTTTTTCTGGTTGGTTGTGGGGCTTGAACTCTGTGTCTGGGCGCTGTCCCTCAGCTCTTCAGCTCAAGGCCAGCTCTCTACTGCTTGAGCTACAGTGCCACTTCCAGTTTTCTAGTGGTTTATTGGAGATGAGTTTCATGGCCTTTTCTGCCCAGGCTGGCTTTGAACCACAATCCTCAGATCTCAGCCTCCAGAGTAGCTAGGATTACAAGCATGAGCCACTGGCCCCCAGCTAGAAACCACATTTTTAAAAAAGTATACAATACTGAACTTTATCACAATTGTGCTCCCCCAGTCACCCCTATCTTGGGGTCAGAGAAACAGCTAACCATGCAAAGAGCCTCATTACTCTATCCTTCCTTGTGTCTTCTCTAAGATTTACACAATTCATGTTTATCTGATGTCATAAAGCTTCAGGCCAACTTCGCTCCTGTGAGAGTATCACAATCGTAAACCCACAGAAGGACATGGATTCCTGGAACTCAGGACATAGGCACTGTCATCAACTGAACCCACAATCTCCATATGTGGTGGTACTGCCTCTCTGGAACTACTACGTTCTTAGGCTTTCAGACTTGCTTTATGTTACTCGTGCGTGACATAAAGATGTCTGTGTTCAATAGAGGGTAAAGAAGTGGGAAGATGAGTGTCTTGTTTGGGGTTTGTTGTTTTGTCAGTCATGGGGCTTGCACTTCGGGCCTGGGCCCAGTCCCTGAACTCTTTTGTTCAAGGCGAGCACTCTATACCACTTTGAGCCACAGCACCACTTCTGGTTTCCTGGTGGTTAATTGGAGATAGGAGTCTCACAGATTTTCCTGGCCAGGCTGGCTTTGAACCGCAATCCTCAGGTCTCAGCCTTCTAAGTAGCTAGGATTACAGATGTGAGCCACTGGTACCCAGCTTGAGTGTCTATTCTTGGCCTTTTCTAAGCTATCATTTATAGTTTCCCATTAATTAGACTTAATTTTCTTTCTTTTTTGGGGGGAGTGAGGTCAGTCATGGGGCTTGAAACTCTGGGCCCAGGTGCTGTCCCTCAGCTCTTCAGCTCAAGGCAAGCACTCTACCACTTGAGCCACAGTGTCACTTCTGGTTTTCTGGTGGCACAGACTTTTCTGCCTGGGCTGGCTTCAAACCGTGAACCTCAGATCTCAGCTTCCTGAGTAGCTAGGCTTAAAGCCATAAGCCACCGGCACCCAGCTAGACTTAATTTTCTTTTTTTTTTTTTTTTGGTCCGTCGTGGGGCTTGAACTCTGGGCCTGGGTGCTGTCCGTGTGCTCTTCAGCTCAAGGCAAGCGCTCTACCACTTGAGCCACCATGCCACTTAGA